AAAATCTAACAAATAACAGACCAGTCATTTTGCTATCAGTGATATCAAAATCATGATAAATGATGTCAAAATGATATCAAAACCACCTTATCATTTGGAAGGCTTTAACATCTTGGGTGATCATCAATATTATGGCTTTCGTTAACAAAGATCAACAGGCGACCTTCTATCGTATGTCACCCACAATTGGAATACGGCAATCGAGAAACATGGAGAGTCAAGATCTGTTGCGCTTGATATATCTAAAGCATAGCGTTTGCTAGGCAAAACTTTGATGCTATGACTTGTCGAATCATGTTTGTGTATGGCTCTCCAGCTTCCTGAAAAAACGTTTCCTGCAAGTGGCTGTCAATGGATATCTTTCGAAGTCAACGCTGGTGTTCCTCACAGAGATCCATATGGTCTCCAACTCTCTTATTATTTTATATTAACGACTTATTGGAAAAAACCAAGAATCCAATATCTTGCTTTTCTGATGATAGCACACTTGTCTCGTCATACCATTCGGATTCCAGGACATCGGCTGAGGAGGCACATCTTCACGGCAGCAGGAGGTTGCATATCTTAATGAGGATCTAGAGGTGACTTACAATTGGTGTGAAAGTAACCAGGTTTGAATCAATGCAACGAAAACCCAAGTATCGGTTTTCTACAAAAAGATAAATGTCTCCGATCCGGATATAATAACGTTAGAATCAAAACTGAAATTTGTCATTCGATAATCAACACAGAAGTGGTGCTAACATCGTTGTTCAGTGTTTGAAACCTGTACTGTTAGAACAATTATCTGAACTTGTCAATTATTTCTCAATCACTTTGACCTTGACCTCTCGGAATGTCACATTTCGAAATAGAGATACCTACATTCTTCTATCATTTTAATTCACTCACAAATTCTGGTGATTTCGTTGAATAACTAAATCTAATTCTTTTATTGTTCTTGAAATAACGGTGGCATACATTGTTTATTTCAATTGAAATAAGCGTCCCTGAATTAGTCATTTGATTTTGAAACCTAATTTTCAAACACACAGTAACCCTAGATTTCAATAGGACACACATCTACTTAATAATCAAACCTTTGTCAACCACGAAGACCCTCATGTCAAAAATTTTTGAACGGAAATAATGGTCAAATGACACCTTAATCGAAAGGTCTTTCAATTCTGTATCCAGCTCTGTAACATTTTTGAAATTACAATAATGAGCAATGTTAAAAAAATTGTCTTTTGATTTTTTACCTAATTCAAAACTAGAATACACAATTCCACTATTTGAAATGTTCAATATGGTTTTGAATTGCACCAGCAAGTGACTGCTGAAGTTGATGTTTATATAAAAATTACTTTGAAATAGTCACTCTCAGTTCAGTTTTCATTTTCGTAGTGCTTGAACTCACAAAGGCATTAATGCTGCATTTCTAGGCCATATTATCTTGGATAGAAAATACACAGTCTTTTACTGAGTTGTCCAGAGCCTCGGGAATGTGTCGTTCAAACGTTTTTCAGATTCTTCATCGACACAATTTAATGTTAACAACAATAAAATGAATCATGGATTAGAATATATCAACTGTAATCAAGTAACAACATGTTTTTCGGATAAATTTATCTTTTTTTCAAGGTCGTGTTAGGTATCCCACGTTAAAAGGTAAGACCTCGTTAGTCCTTAGCTCGTACAAGTTTCTCAACGTCTGAGAGTTGTCGTTCGTATGAGGGCGACAGCTGATTTACGGAAAAACAGATTTTAACACAGATATTTTTTCAAACAAAACACAAGCACTACAGGAAAATCCTTAAGGCACCCTCAGAGCCGTGCCTGTGCGAAAGTACCGATTTACATTGGATTTGAATCGCTGGAGACTAAATCCATTTGGAAAAATGATTCCAGGAAGTTTATTCCACATAAACACAGTTTTTCAGATGGAAGAGTTCTCAAACAGTGAACTTCGAGGTGTACTGAGTTGAACCTTAAACTGATGAGCAGCCACAGTCGAATTTCGAATTTCTGATATGTACCGCTCTTGGTGGAATCAAATGTGCCAAGTCACTTGAACACTTTCCGTGAAAGTATCTATAGAAGAGAGACAATATTCCAGGCTATCAAGGTTGCATGTCATGTTCCTGTCTCCAATCAAGCGGATGGCTCTTTTCTGGATAGAATCCAGCAACTTCAGGGTATGTATGGAGGCAGAGCTCCATACATTAGAGCAATACTTCAAATGAGGTCTGATCTGAGCTTTATAAAGCATCAAAAGTTGCTGAGGTGTGTACCGGTTTCTGGTTCGGATCAGTGTACCAAGCTTTTGAGAAGCAGCCTTTGCAATTCCAGCAACATGATTGTGTCAAGACATACTGGTGTCCATTTTAACCCCCAATAAACTTATTGAAGCAGAAAGCGAGATGGTCTGACCTGACATCATTATATCCGGTTTGGAGACATCTACCTTCCTGGAGAAAACCGATGTCTGAGTTTTTGTGGCATTGAATCGAACCTGGTTACTTTCACCCCAATTCTAAATAGCTTCTAGATCCTCATCAAGATATGCAACCTCCTGCTGCCGGTGAAGATGTGCCTCCGTCGATGTCCTGGAATCCAAATGGAATGACGAGACAAGTATACTGTCGTCAGCAAAGCAATATATTGGATTCTTGTTTTTTTCCAATAAGTCGTTGATATACAATTAAAAGAGGGTTGGAGGCAATATGGATCCCTGGGGAACACCAGCGTTGATAATGAAAGTATTCGAGACACATCCATCGACGGCTAGTTGCAGGGAACCTTCCTCCAGGAAGCTGGAGAATCATATACAAAAATGATCCGGCAAGCCACTCCACCGAAGTTTGGCCAGCCAACCCTCACGCCACACACGGTCAAAGGCCTTAGAAATATCAACAGCAACAGCTCTTGACTCTCCATGTTTCTCGATAGCGTTATTCCAAATATGGGTGACATACGATAGAAGGTCGCCTGTTGATCTTTGTTTCCGAAAGCCATATTGATGGTCGCTCAAGACGTTGAAGCCTTCCAAATATTTGAGGATATGGTGGTTTACGACTTTTTCCATGATTTTTAATATCACTGCTAGCAAAACAATATGGATCCCTGGGGAACACCAGCGTTGATGGTGATAGTATTCGAGACATATCCATCGACGGCTAGTTGCAGGGAACCTTCCTCCAGGAAGCTGGAGAATCATATACAAAAATGATCCGGCAAGCCACACCACCGAAGTTTGGCCAGCCAACCCTCACGCCACACACGGTCAAAGGCCTTAGAAATATCAACAGCAACAGGTCTTGACTCTTCATGATTCTCTATAGCTTTATTCCAAATATGGGTGACATACGGAAGAAGGTCGCCTGTTGATGTTTGTTTCCGGAAGCCAAATTGATGGTCGCTCAAGACGTTGAAGCCTTCCAAATATTTGAGGATATGGTGGTTTACGACTTTTTCCATGATTTTTAATATCACTGCTAGCAAAACGACTGGTTTATAGTTATTTGGAAGATTTTTCTTGCCCTATTTGAGAATAGGTTGAACAAGAAGAAATGGACGAGTAAATCGTCAAAATCGCCTTCCACAGAGTGATTCAAATGTCACGCCAAATTCACTTTCAATAGCTCCAAAAACTGAAAGATTCGGAAGGAATTTTGGGAAAACATGTTACAGGACCATTATTTTTGAAAGTTAACTTAAAATAGTAAGGGATACTTCACTTTGCTGAATAACCAAGTTATGCCTCAAACAATGTCAACAACAATGTCACACAGTTGTCAGTTTCTGCTTGATCTAGGGATTCGTAGATCTACTCATACTCTAATAAAGAGTTCTCTCCAAAATAGAAAGCAATATGTAATTCAACGAAAGTCATTTTTTTTGGAAGAAAATCAGTTTTTTATTGACATTTTTTCGGTATTTGTTACCTTCCACAATCTTAAAGTTTCGGATTCCAAAATCTGCCTCCTCTTCAGAAATGGAAAAAAAAATTCAAAATATTGGCAGTTATTCCTTTTTGATTATTTATTTCTTTACTTCTTCGGCAGATGTCAAAGGAGTTTTGAAATATGAAAAATAAAATATGAAGCTGAATTGGGTGCAGCTTGTGCGTGATGATGATGTGTTGAATTTTTTCTATATATAAACATGTACAATTGTAAATGTTGATGTATTTGCATAGACGACATAGTGAGTGATCCAGAATCATTTGAAATTGGAGTACCGCAGAGAACAGTCTCAGGACCTATCCTTTTCAATATATGCCCGGAGTTTCGTCGTTTCTGAGATACAGGGTATTCAAGTTTAAAAAAAAATAGTGTTCATAAAATATCATAAATATCCTAACACCGATCTGGCTAAAATTTGCTACAGTTATTTGAAGTAATAAGACGCTTATTTGGCCCTAACAATAGTGAAATTATTAGGTCCAGTGGTGTCTCAGAGGGCATTACAGTCAAAAATATTGAAATAAAAGTATTTTTTAGCAAAATCAACTGAAAATACAACTTTTTCGTTGCTTGTATTTCCTTCATATCTAGCTTCGTTTTCGAAAAAAAAAATGAAAGCCACTTTGCTCAGAGGGTATTACAGACAACAATATTGGAAAAAAAGTATTTTTTTGGATAATCAACTGAAAATACAACTTTTTCGTTGCTTGTCTTTCCTTCGTTTTCGAGGAAAAAAAAATGAAGCCACTTTGCATATCATAAATAATTAGAAATTTCAGAATTTCGAACATGTTTTTCAGTTCATGCATTATTTTCTGAAAATAATGAATATTTGCAAAGTGTGACATTTCAGGGATATTGCTGAATTTGAACATATGTCAGTGACCCAAATTTTCAAATTCGTTTCTGTAAAATTTTGTAAAAATTTGTATTTTTGTAAGAATCCCCTCCATAATTTGATTTTTCAAAAAGCTGACTCTTGCTGATTCAACATTGTATTCGTGAAAAAATTATGTGATATCGAATCAAACATTCAATAAAATTGCTGCTTACCTATGGAATTCGCAAAAATAAGAATAATCCAAAAAACATCGAACCTCCAAAACCACAACTCTCACTAATTACGGTCGCCTTCAAGAGATTGACCACTAATTTCGGAAATCGTCATTGGTAACTGTTGGAAAATCGCTTCAGTACATTCACATCACCGCGGAAAGCGAAAAAGTCACTTTTCGAAAAAACGCGATCACATTTTCAAAAACGGACTCACATCACCTGTCTCTCTCAACAAAGGTGAGTCGCGAATGAAACACGCTCGATTGTTTTTCAACAATACTCGATCCAGTGCACTCTGAATGTTGTTGCTAAATGTAGGTTACGTTTCAGAGAAGCCGAAGCCGCAGAAGTGATGGTTTCTAGCTTGTTGGCAGAGGCGTCCGTCGAAAAGAATTGTGATGGAAATAGAAGATGAAAGTGTTGAGCACAGATATGGTTTCTAAATAATTGAACGCAGTGGCGCTTCTGCAATTCTGTAAATCATTTAGTGATAATGAGTTCACTAACACAATTTGCCTTTTTGTAAAAAAGAAGGAGTTTGAGTTTGAAACCAATTCAAAGTGTCACAGTTACCCATCAAGAAATGGAAATATAATTAAACTGCAGCAACATCGTACTAGATTGTTTCAAAAATCACCCTCTCTAGCAGCCTCCAAGCTATTCAATTGTCTACCTTCAAATATAAAGGGAATCCCATTAATATCTACTTTCAAACGCAAGTTAAACAATACCTTTTAGAGGGATGTTTTTATTCTATCAATGAGTATTTTGAGTGTACTTCCAAATAATTGTAATCAATGTAGTGTACTCTCTATGTAACACATATACATATTTTTTTATTTGACGTTTCCTATATCATTGTTAAATGATTATTTGAAAGGAATAAAACATTATTATTGTTATAATATGACCCCAAATTCCTTCAATAAAATCTGATTAAATTTATTGCTGTTATGCTACTTGGGGATTGCTCCAATTGCTTCGCTGCGGGTAATTGAATATTTCTTATGTTCAATAGATAAATATTAAGTAGACGTTACTGGACAGACACATCGAGGTCACCGACAGAAATCCTGAATAATACATAAAAAAATTGAAAAATGTTGCTCCCAACCTTTCGAACCGAAAATATTTTGCCTTTTGTGTTGCATTCGTAATTACAACACCTTCCTTGATCACGTTTCAGCATTTACAAGAAACGTTCAACACGTTTGACTCGGATAAAAAAACTTGAAATGCCACGTTAAGTTTGTATATGGTGTAGCGAAATATCTACACAAACGGTGCGAACAAAAGTGAGAGGATATTGTTTGAAAAAGGGCGGAGCAGAGTAGAACGGGCGTAATATTTCAATGCCCATGAAATAGTTTCTAGTTACGGGGTGGTGCGTGTACCTTACCGGATATGCTGCAGTCATACACTACTAGAGAGTGATTTTGGTGTAATTATTCATTATTTCACTTGGAAGTTCCGTTAGAAAAAAAGATAAAACCGTATCTTAAGTATTTCCTGGATTCTTTTCAGAGCAAAATAGTGGCCAGCTTGGTATGGCCACTTTTTCCAATGTGAGACCGATTATATTTAGAAACACTAATGAAGGCAAATCAAAAATAGCGTGACCGATTCTTGAATTACAATTTTCGTTTACATTGCTATCCTTTTTTACTGATATTAGTTTTCTTTTATTTCAGATGGCAGATTCTCTCCGTTTGCTACAATTGGATTAGATAATAGACATCTCGTACTCTTGGTTTCTCTCTCAATATTCATTTAGTGCTGCTCTGAATGTGACTTTACGTTCTCGTGCTGATACTTCATCGTTAATGGACCCTTCCACTTTCCGAAAAATAATGATAAAAATCAATATCATTTGTTAGTTCTATAGGAGAATGAGAAATTCATCAGGAAGTAACACCTAATTTTTTCCATTTCCAAAATGAATATTATTTTTGTAAAGCAGAAAAAATACATGAATGTACGACAAAACTATTCAAATATACTCTGTTCATCTGAGCAACAGAGTACCCCAAAACATTATCATGCATAGTGCACGTAATCTCCCAGACAAGGCTGCTTATAGAGAGTCGCACTAAGGAACGACCGAAATTTTATTTTTTTTCAATAATATGTGGCAGGGTACAGGAATTTTTTCAGGTAGAGTATAAGGACCCAACTTAGTAGTTTCTTGGCGGTTTGGCTGTCCTTGTTCATCTTTCACTGCCTGAACCACTGTGCATGCTGTTTTTGGCGAGTGCATTGGCTTGGGATGTGAGGGTTGAGCAAACCGGCCACCGTATGCCTGCTTCCACGTAGCCCCGCTGGATACGGGAATGACAGAATCACTTGTGGTTCTGTTATTTCCTAATTGAATGGCATCCCAACGATGGCTTGATTCTAAAGTGTGTGTATTCGTGCCGAGAGGATGGATGACACTGAGCCTATCAGCTGTCTCTACGGAACCTTGGAGATACCAGGCGCACTTTCGTCGTAGAATCGCCTTGTCACGGTAATGCGGGGCTCTGCCGTCATTGCCCTTCTTTCCCTAGCTACTCGTGGGACTTTTATGGAAAGAGTAAACTTAAAAATTATTTCTGACGCTGAGTCTACAGAGAAGATAGATGTCCAGCTTACGATTCTAACTGACCTCCTAGTAAATTTAGATCATGGGCGAGAGCTTCTCAACTCTCCAACTCCTGATCCAATAACTGAACCTAAAAAAAGGTTTGGTGGTGCAGCCAGGAAACGACAGAGTCGTTTCCTCAAGAGCGGGGTACCTTATGAAACCGCCTTCCACCAAATTCTTGAGCGGCTCACGCAGAATCTGCCTCAGGTGGAGGAACAAACCCCCTGTGAGCAGGTTAGCAAACGTTTGTGATCAAGTGATGATTCACAAAAGCAGAGGCGAGAAAGCCTTGCACGGTTGAATTTGAGGCATCGTCAGGTGTAGCTGACGTGCAAAAACCCTCATATAGGAAGGTTGTCGTGGGTATCAAGGTGGGAATCTTGCACCTCGACTATCCGACTACCTCATTAACGATAAAACAGCAGAGCATATACTTTGTGCCTGCCCCGCTGGGGACCGAATCAGGTTTTAGAGTTCGGCAGAGCCGTACTCTTACTATCTTACCTGAAAGACCACTCACCATACAAACTAATGGGCTTCGTTAAGAAGCTGGGTTTATTTGGTCTAGTGTGAATCGGTGTGAGCCACAATAAACCCTTGTGGGTTGGTGGAGGGTCGAATAGACCCACTCACTTTGGACCTAACCTAACCCAACCCAGTAGTTTCTTCAGCCGGACAGTACTTGACTTTTTGAAAATTTTATACCTAAATACCGCATATGTACACACCACAGGCGTTAAAATGTATCTGACCACTCCGACACTGTAACAATGAATTACGTCAGCCGATTGCAGTTGAATCTGATTGGCCAGCGTAAGGAGGCTTCAGTGTCGTTGCTTTTCGATTTCGAAAGCCATGGGTTTTTGGAATTTCTTCCTGACGTTTCGCTGGCTAGCTTCTTCAGAGGTTCAACCATCATGGCTTGCTGTCCGATGCCTAACTATTAGGCTTCGTAAAGCGGATTTATGCCTTGTCAGGTAATCAGTTGTATTTGTACCTGAATTTGTACCTGTATTCGTACCTGCACTTGAACCTGGAACATTAAAAATCTTGCTGCCTGTTGTCCTGTTCGTTATTCTCGAATTCTTTAAAATGGGGTTCCATATTTGATTGAGGTTCACCGCTTCTTCTTTTTTGTTAAAATTATCCGTGTGTTTGTGGATCTCTGTTGACTCCCGTACCAGTCGGCTATGGTATCCCTGGTTGGGGGAAATTAGTTCTGTGTTCTCAAGCAAAATTCTGTGGTCTCCTTCACTCAGTGCGTGTTCTGTCACAGCTGACTTGTCTGTGTGAACTAATTGCCCCCAATCAGGGATACCATAGCCGACTGGTACGGGAGGCAATAGAGATTCACAAACACACGGATAATTTTAACAGAAAAGAAGAAGCGGTGAACCTCAATCAAATATGGAACCCCATTTTGAAGAATTCGAGAATAACGAACAGGAAAACAGGCAGCAAGATTGTTAATGTTCCAGGTTCAAGTGCAGGTACGAATACAGGTACAAATTCATGTACAAATACAACTGATTACCTGACAAGGCACAAATATGCATTACGAAGCCTAAAGGGTAGTCATCGGACAGCAAGCCATGATGGTTAAACCTCTGAAGAAGCTAGCCACTCGCGCCAGCGAAACGTCACGAAGAAATTCCAAAAACCCACGGCTTTCAAACTCGAAAAGCAACGACACTGAAAACCTCAGCCGTGAAAGTCTAAACCATTTTGTAAGGGGGCTTGTTTAATTTACCCCATAGAAGCGAATGGGCGCGGTGATCATGCTTTGATCACGCATCTACCTTTTTTTGGGTTACCTTGTTAGTTTGATGGATATAGTTTAGTTCTACTCAGTCCAATATCGCTTCAACAAAATTCCAAATATAACCTCTCTGTTTCGTCACGACCATCGTTTTCAGTCGATTTTGAAAAACTACTGAAAAAAATCTGAAAAAAAAATGTTTGCACTATCGTACAATTTTCACCGAAAGGGTTATCCCAATATCAGTGGAAATATTAACCATTCTTGACTTACTCGTTCTTCAGATCGGGTTGACTCATTTTGCAATTAAGTAATTTTCAAAAATCGAAGAAATGATTGCAAGGGGTACGGGTATTTCTAAAAAAAAATATATTGTGGTGACTCAAAATTCTTTATTTTCTGGTAAAACATAAGAAATTAGATAATACAAACTCGAATGAAACAATCACTGATTTCACTGCTATCAATTGAACAAGAAAGTACTACGTTTGTTTATTTTAACACCCTCATCAATTATAAAACTTGAATACCTCATTTAGGTGCCTTTTGAATGGATAGTGTCCAATCGCTAAGTTTTTTAGATTTCCGTCAATTCATTTCCTGATATATTTCCATACCATAAAGTTCAAGATACAACAGTCAGAATAGCTAAAGCAAAACAATGTATTCTTCAAACCATCAATTGTTTTCGAAAGGTTAGGTTAGGTTAAGTACACTTATATACACTTTCGATGTATCATTTTTTTGTGATTCCTTGAATATCATAAGGTGCTCCAAGAACATAAAAATATTCACACGTCATCATGTAGTTCTACAAAAATATTGTTTGTGTTGTACTTGTTATGTACTTGCATCAATTGATTCATTCACACTATTATGCATTAATTTTCTCTTTCAGCATCTAAATATACAGGTCTATCATGTTCATACAAAAAAACAAATGAAATTCTTCAATGAGTTTGTACTCATTATACTCCTGGTTTTATAATCAGAAGACCGGCGACAGAAATTGTAAATACTTGGTCCTTGGCTTAGTTTGATCAATACATTCATATCGTTTATTAAACTGGTGCACAATTGGTGTTGATAATGTCTTCAGAGTCGCTTTCTAATGTGAGTTTTATATTATATTATTGATTAATTGAAAACTTGAAAGTTTGGCATTATTGATGTCAACAATCACATATGCTCATTTCAATCAACTCTATTTTATTTTGCCACATCAACGTCATTTCTAGGTTAGCTAATCATTTATTGATAACCTATTATTTCGTTCATTTGTTTTACATAAAGTCATCAAATACTTTTATTGGGATTGGAGCATCAAACTTCTATATTTCATCATGGGTGATAAAGTTTATGCTCACAAATGTTATGTATGTGATATATGTCTATATACTTTTGATTGAGAATTGTAAATGATCTCATTTTCTACTTAATAATTTAATTGTGACCTGTATATTTTATAGATACTCATTTCCAGCTTGTTATTTGTGAATATTTAGATATCTATATTTTCTATAATCTTCCGACAATGAACATATACCTATGTGTGACCTCACCAAAGGTACATATACCTTTGGTGAGGTCAATTTTTTTGTAGAGCCTAGGTAAGCTTGTGGTAGTTACTAGGTGTGATGTACTGTTTGGAACCTTCGGTGTAGTATGAATATTACTGGAGTTTTTTCCCAACACCAAATCGTTATTTTTACACCTCGACACGTGTTTCGATCATCAAGTGATCATCTTCAAGAGGAAGATCCTCTTCATCTTCAAGAGGATCTTCCTCTTCATCTTCAAGAGGATCTTCCTCTTGAAGATGATCACTTGGTGATCGTGTCGAGGTGTAAAAATAAAGATTTGGTGTTGGGAAAAAATTCCAGGAATATTAGTTACTAGGTAATCAGAATTTTCAAAATTCTGAGAAAGTGAAAACAATAAATTAGCTTCTCTTTGTTCTGTAAAAAACATATAGGCATTCATTGTTGAGAAATCGATGTTCTAATGTTGATAAAAAAACTGATATTTCAATCGAAAATACTTTGGAACAAATTAACAATTCATAGCTACCTAAAATTTATAATAACAAACAGGTAATAGAAATTAAATTGGCCAGTTCCTGGTGGTATAGGGACTGACGAATCCTAGAAAGAACAAAAAGCTGCTGATGAGGGTCCATAGTGTGTGCACTTCTGCGTGGATTTCAATTGACCAATGAAATTATCTGCAATCTTAGAGTTATAAATACTATCTCAGCCGGAACTCTTGTACTTTTTCGCTGTCGCTCAATTTTTCATCAATCTCCGTTAAGATCGGTTGAGGTTTTTCATTTATTCCATTAACGTCATCATGTAAAACTTCTGAATGACAACGAAGGAACTCCTGGATATCTTGATGCTCATGACCCATGAATGCTGGGGCAAAACTTTGAATCTGACTCTTTAAGGAAATTGTGTTCACCACTCTATAAGATGAATCTTATAATCACAATTCTTTGATAACTTGATAACGGTTTAATTAAATCACCCTCCATACTAAAAATACTAGTCTTGATATCCTCCATGTATACATTTTTTTTAAATATGTCTTTGGTAAAAGCTGTTGTCAATATTTTTCAACCCATTAAACCCAAGGGTTTTGACTGAAGAATATATCACTGATGTGAGGTTGTTGTGGCTGTTGATGCTACGTTAACCACTGCTGTCTTCTTCTGTGTAGTCACCGAAGCTATGATTCTTCCCATTATTGGACCAACGGGTTGAGAAATTTGAACTGCACGAAACTGAATTGGATAGATATAAGGCAGACCTGACGAATTTGTGAAAAAGTGATAATTCCAGAACTTGTTCAGTTTGCTGACTCCATTTTGGGTGAATCTCAGAAAATTTTGATTTGATTCAGGAATATGGGTTCAGGAATATTTCTTCTGACTTTTGAGTAGACAGAAGAATACCCAATTCCCATGTGGCATCACCTCTTTGAATTGCGATACTAATTCTTTCAATCAAAAATGAATAGGCTTCGTAGTCATCGTTAAATGTCATCAGTCATCTACCAATTTCATTCAACAATTCAGAATCATATGATCCCAAAAGCACCAAAGGTTTCAATTGCAACATGAAAGACACAGTAGGAACTTTAGCAAAGTTTAATATTTTCGAAATTTATATTTTTCTGCAATCGTAGTAGCTGCACTACCGGAATTAGAAGTTGCAGCAAGATGTGAAGCTGCAACTGGGTCTACGCAGAAAGAAAGCAAACTTTTTATATTCGCTTTGTTAGAAATATAAATCTTTCTGAAATTATGAAACAACAAATAATCATTGGCGTTCCGGGTCGACTTCATTGATTCCAGTGGCGCATTTGCTTTTTCAGCTGCAGGAAAACCCAGAAAAACCTGCAGCACCACATCATCTGAAGATCTTGATCTAACGATGTCCTCTCTCTTATAAAACAAAATGTAAGGTGTCTCCAGAGGCTCCAATAAATTCAATGCATCGCCAGAACACTTCGTGACACGACTATCGTCAAACTGAAACCTGTCCGTTTCGTCTGATGAAGAATGAAGATTATAATAGTGGTCTGCTAGATTGAAGTATGATCATCAGTGTCTCAACTATACTTGTTTTCTTATAATAGTCAGTTAGTTTGGCGCATATTTGGCAATACAGTTGATCCATCACCCTTTAAAATTTCCAACGCTAGTTGAAGTTCCAGGAGCATTTACTACAAAGTATACAAGTGAGGATTTTTCCAGCGAAAGATCTAAAAATATAAGACGAGATAGATTGCATGGAATCATTTAATTTAGAGCGATCAGGAGTATTGATTTTGCTATTTTTTTGCTCACGAAGAGTATTCAACAAGAACCCCAAGAATTCAGAGTAACCTTCGTGTCCCACCGAGTTACTAGTATACTTCAAAGACTCCAGGAAATTGGTTGGTGGGAAATATGATACATTCTTACGAAATTGCAACGGCATGCACAATTTGAGAGACTTCTCCCCAAAAGTTTTCGAGAGAAAACGGTTCCTAGAGAATATTATTAATTTTGTAATTTCATATCTAATTTGAATAACCAAGACAGAAATTACTTTGTCAGTCCTATTCCGGATAATGATAATTTTTGATCGATTTTTACTTTCTGAGTTATTACGAATATTGACAAGGAAAATACATTTCTAGATGTAGTAAAGGTATGATATTAAGAATAAATTACAGGATCCATACAAATATTTTATTCTATGATAATCAAGTTTTTAATTTCATAGAAATATATCAACATTCATTACTTTCTGTCACAGTTAGAAGAAGAGATGTCTGACATAAAATCTGTAACTGCATTCAATAGAGAATCAATCATGAAATCTTCAAAAAAAAGAAAGAAACGCAAGAAGAAACACAAGGATATTTTTGATTTGCCAGGAGTTCACAAGTTACAATTATCAGAATTGGCACAAAAAATAATAGGGTGAGTTCACTAAAATATTTTTTATATACGTCAAAATGTGCGTCAAAGTGACATGTGTTTGAAAAATATATATCATGAATCAAAAAGAAATTCTCATTGAACAGGAGAAAAAATTGGATAGTAATGGAAAGTGTAGAAAACGTGTTTCAAGATTTATGTTGAAAAAGCCATCATTTTTGGAATGCTAATTGATTTTGAAGAAAATATAATGATATCCAAATGTAAGAACATTTGATAGGTATTGAAAAGCTACAAATAAGTTGAGTGGCCTCAACTTCACATCAATATTTTTTTTGTCTATTGATTTTGATAGAATTTGTATCTGTAAGGAAAATCAAGCCAATACAATATAAACAGTATCAATAAAACGATTAATAAGTATACCTGCAAAAAATTGAAAACATTCCTCTCAGCAAAAAAATCAAACTTTCACCACCGTAGGACTGTAGTCAATCGATCGCTGTGTGAGCCGGCGGTTCGATACGCAAGGCCGGACGATCGATTTCCACTTCCTATCGTCCAACCCGTGTTAGGAATCACACGTTGAAAGGTAAGACCTCGTTAGTCCTCAGCTTGCACTTCTGAGAGTTGTTGTTCGTAGGACTGGGACATCTGGTTAACGGAAAAACATATTTTTTGAACAGAATACAAAAATAAATGGAAGCAACGAATATTTTCAATGATTCTTTTGAATTTCAGTCATATTTCGTATTCAGAAGTTCGTTGTATAATGGTATTTGTTCATCAACTATCATTGCTTGGTTAATTTTTCGGGCTGTTTTGCAACAACTTAATATTCTGATTGAATCGGCCATTACTTGATGAAGATCCATAGTAATTTCACAAACTACACCTAAACGATTTGATCTCCACAAACTTTATTGAAAAAATATATCACAACATGTTTCGCTAAACATTAGCTTTTTCAACCTTTTTCAATAAAGTTTATGGAGATCAATTTGTTTAGGTGTAGTTTGTGAAATTAACAACTTAATAGCAACAATAGGTAAGTTTCCTGTAATAAGAAAGCTAGGCTAATAATAGGCAACCATTCATCCAAATTAATGTGCTGAAGTATAACAATATTTAGATCTTTTTTGATCGACTCTTTCAGTTGTATTGCTAATATTTAGATCAACAACAAAACATAAAACACTAGTGATATCACTCTGATCTAGTTTTTCCCTAGTTGTGTTGCAGGTGACAATGTTACTGCGGAAAACCCTTGGATGTATGTAGATAAAGAGAAAATACAAGATAACTTGGAGTTACACGAGGAAAGTTCCGAATTTTTACCACTCAAAAAATACATTCTCGGTTTTCCTAGAAAGCAGTTTCTCATAGGTGAGAATTATATATTTTGGGATTCAAATAGGAACGATTTTTTCAGAAATTATGAAGAATTTTTTGAATGAGCGGTATTTGTTTCAAAATCAGTTGAAAAGAGATGAAACCACACATCAAAAATAATGTATTCATTGTCCAACACCAGACAGCGCTGCCATCTGTGGTACTGGGCGGAACCAAGCATGCATTGCTGAACTGAACCGCCTCCAAACAATAGGTCTGAATTTCATTTAGTTGTTTTGCAGTTAAATCTACAGAAAATGACATAGTCATTTCTCATTCGGCGATCGATGTCGAAGCTTGGATTTGTAACTGACCGCCTTTGGGAGCCTCTTTCATCATTGTGGTTTCTGTCTTCTGATATTCCACAGATGGTGTTTTCGTACTTACTTCAATGACATTCAAGTCTAACAATTCATTCCTGATTGAGCCTAACATCACTGATGATACCTATTATGGGTTGAAACAGTGCTGTATTGTTTTGGAACGCTTTGCTGCTTCTGTTCTGGTTTAATCGGTTGCTTCGGAATAGATTGTCATTGAAAACCTGGTTCATAATTGATATTTGAGCTTTCAGTAGTTCTCATAGGTCCATGTTTACTTTTATAACTTTTATAGAAAGCTTTGATTGACTTTTAAATATATGGTGACTTTTTTTAGGGTACATACCTGATGAATCTAGAGATGTGGAAGAATTCTACATCTGTGTTACAGAGCAAGCAACAGATACCGTTAAAGATATAATTGAGAAAATGAAACAGGAACAGGAAGAACGATTATTCAATACAATCAACAAAAGTGTGAAGGAATGGTATGAAAACTCTTTAATATTGTCACGATATTAGTTATCTGTGATACAATTTAAACCTGCATAATGGAATAGTTTTAGTGTCAAATTGGAACCTGTGGCGTGATATGATATTTTTATGCTCATCCAGATCAGTCTACATAATGAGGTCGCTAAATCGATTTCTAGGTCCATTCATTGTATTCTTTTGTTTTTGTTCCTACTTACCAGTTTTGATAATCAATATCAACCTGTTTTCTATGTATAATTAGTAAGGTTCCTAGACAGGTTGATATCTCTGTCCTCGGTCTGCGACTGAAAACACCTGCACCAGAATCGAAAGTTGTTTTTGATCCATCTGTGAACCAACAACTATCTGTTTTTAACATTTCTTCCTCCCAAATTAATTGGTAGTGACACTTAATGAAGCTGTCCTTTTGTGATATGAAAGTAATTCTACAATCCAATGATTGTTTTTTAAATGAAACATTTTCTTCATTTCCCTTGAAACTCTTTTCAGTGAGAGCTTTAACTATTCATTGTCATCAATGCAATTTGTGATTTTCACTTCAATTATTTCTCGAAGGTTCACTCAAGGAACTGAAACCGAAGTGGACGAAGCCATCGTGAAAAATAATCGACCCTTGATCGAAGTTGAGGTTGAAACTGAATATCCTATTTTCTCTCCCAACACTCAGTTCAAAACTGTGAAAGCTGAGCAAAGGCGGGATGGTTACATGGAACTGAGATGTGTCGATGAAGTCATGGAAAACGTATGTAGAATAGATGAATTATTCAAAAGAAATATTTCTCATTATTATTCATTCTTACACTTTTGTGATTCATTTTAGTTTCAGTTCGAAGCCGCCTGACATTTATTTCTTTCAAGTCTCCGAAAAAGATTGCAACCTCATAGGCTATCTGGCTTCCTGCACTAGTTTGTACAGGTCCCTTGTTGAATGTTGTGATACTATTCTGGATATAATACGGAATGACTACGAAATATTTAAAACATAACAATATTCAAACTGCATTGCATGCCTCCTCATTTTGTTCAGGTGTCTTCTCAGTCGGCAGTGTCCAGCAAAAAGCTGTGTAATTATTCTGAACCAATCTCTGTTGAAGTAGTTCTTCAATTCCCTTTTTGGGTGTGTGTTCCCGGTTGTATTTTCCCAGTGCTCTTTATGTTTCTTACAGCCTCACTTTCTGATATAATTCGGTACCAGAGATTCTGGTACTTCTCATAGAGTTGATTCCTGTTTGACGCACTCATCAGCATTTCCATTGTCTGTTAGTACTGAGTATTTTGGCACCCTATGTAGAGTCAATCTCGTCTTCTTTTCTTTCAGTTCTTCCTACCAGGCCTAAACCAGTCTTGGTATCACTTGGGGCAGATTGCCTGGCTTTGTGGCTATCTGTGGAAATATCGATTCACGCATTTCGTTGGGCCTTTCAATCTGGAAGTTCTTTCCCGCTAAGACAAGCAGAGTACTATCTAACTGTTCTCAATTCGTCGTATTTTTCAGTCCTCGTTTTCGAAAAGCATTTCTCCCTCAAGCATATATAACCTCTCATATTCGGGAACTGCAACTTTTGAAACTGGATGAAACGTGATTTGTTCACTACGCTTGTCTTGTCTACAAGATTTTAGCTACTAGACTACACATGTACCTTGAATTTCACTAGTTCGGACTTCTATTGTCTGATATATGAAATGATTTGAAATCCCTGAAACAACTAAACAAGAAGAATTAAAAATAAATAGCTGAAAATAACAATTATATTAAGCAAAAACAACCTGAAATGAAATAATAGTGAAATAAAATACAAGTAAAAATAGAACGATTGAACGAAAATTTGAATTGAAGAAATAAAAATGAAAATAAAAATAAAAAAGTTAAGAGATTACATCTTGTGTAAAGAATTGGTCCTCCAGTTGAAAATAACAGTTACACGAATCCAACCACTATTAATCGACTAAAAGAGAAATCATAAAGACTCCATTAGACCATTCTTTCGGGCTCTGTAATGCGAAGGAACCAGACATCATCAAAAATTATTTCCAACGAAATGGCTACTCCAAAGCAATGGTAGAAAAAACTTTGGCTTGGAATTGTTATTTCCAACTGAAGGACGAATTCTCCACACAAGATGAGGGACTGCCAATAGGATCTTCACTTTCACCAGTCATTGCCAACATATATATGGAGTGGTTTGAAACTTTGGCCATTGAAGAAGCCCACAAGAGACCTCGAGTCTGGTTGAGATATTTTAACGACACCTTCATAATATGGAACCATGGGAATACTGAACTAGACGCCTTCCTGGAACACATCAACAGCATGAGACCTTCCATCACTTTCTCAATGGAGAAGGAAATCCACAACGAATTGCCATTCTTAGACGTTCTGTTGAAGAGGATCGACACTAAGTGGGAAACATCTGTATACTGAAAACCCACTCATACGGGACAGTATCTGAACCACGAATCCAACCACCAACAATCGACTGAAAGACGAATCATCAAGACTCTATTAGACCGTGCTTTCAGTCTCTGTAATACGAAGAAAGGTCTAGAGAAGGAACTAGACATCATCAAAAATGATTTCCAAAGCGATGGTAGAAAAAACTTTGGCTAAAAGACAGCAGTAGCCTCGCAAGGGAGATAAGCCTTCACAACCAGTGCTNTTTTTTCTGAGGACAAAACACAAGCACTACAGAAGACTTCTCAAGGCTCTCAAATAACGGTTCATGTGCTATTCAGGTTAGATTTGAATCGCTGAAGTTAAATTAATTTGTAAAAACGTTCTCAGCAATTTTATTCCACATAATCGCAATTCTACAAATGAAAGGGTTGTTAAACAGTGAAGTTCGAGATGTACTGAGTTGGCCTCAAAACGATGAGCAGCCACAGTAATGCTCTTGGTGGGATCAAATGTGTCAAGTTCCAGACTATCAAGTTTGCAAGTGATGTTCAGGCGGATGGCTTCTTTCTGAGGTTTGTTCAGTTCTCTGTTTCGGAATAGTGTTCAAAGCTTTTGAGAAGCAGCCTTTGCAATTCCAGCAACATGATTGGGCCAAAACATATTTGTGTCCATTTCATCCCCAAACAAACTCATCAAAGTGGAAAGCAGAATTGTCTGTTCTGACTTTATATCCGGTTTGGAGACATTTGTCTTTTTTGAGAAAACCGATGCCTGAGTTTTTGTGGCTTCGAATTGAACCTGGTTAAAATATGCAACCTCCTGCTGCCGTTGAAGATGTGAATCTGCAGCCGATGTCCAGGGAAGGGGCGGTCTATAACTCATATTTTCAGTACTATTTCCATTGTTGTCACAAATAACATTTTCGAGTATGAAATATGAACATTCAACATACGTAACTGGAGTTGTCTATGTTGAACAGAAAAATAACAGTGGCAATAAAAATGTTTTATCTAGTGAGGCTTACACCGAACATTTTTTTTTTCGGAATTGTATCCTGTTCAGTTTTTGAAAATATGTTGCAGATACACTCTGAAGGTTTCTGTACTTGTGTTGTACTCTTCAATAAAGTGGACTGTATAATCTGAGCTGATTTAATTGAGAATTTTGATTGGATAAAACGAATGCATAACTAAACTACACTGTATTACGCTCAATGTTCAAATTAATTCTGGCACAGAACACCCTTTAGGGTGTTCACTGTCGTTGGTGTTGTTGCCGAATTCGTGAACCGATTATCTTCTTTCACAATTCCTACACTGATAATATGAACGCAAATAAACGCAAAGTACTTCTTGAGCATCTCAGAGCAGCCCGCAGCAAACTTAGTAGGAACAAACCTCATCATCAACAACTAAGTATATTCCTACGAGGAAGTCACAAACAAAACAGACCCGTCTGAAACCGTGACTGCAGGCAATAGTGAATTAGAGAAAGTTAACACCTTCATTCCCCCAAACAGCTCCGAAGAAACCGATAGAACGGCCAAGAAAGAGAAACTACGAGATCTGGACACCAACACAGAATTTATCAACAAAATCGCAACCAGACAACAAAAGAAAACTCATTTCAAGAAAAAGTGAATCTTCTCTTTACCGCCTACTTCTTTTGTGTATTTGGTATCAAATAGGTCGAACTTTTTTTGTGTTTGCTTTATCTTTTCTCAATACTTTTGTTGAATGTATTCAAACATGCATCTGGGACATTCCAACGTGAGGTCTTTAATGGCACACTTTGTGCGCTGGTCAGGCCCTATCCCCCGAAGCTTCGATACATTCGGGAGGGCGCGCCAGCATTATCAACCAATGACCACTCCCCACACCGTGGGGTAGGTGATCATTGGGTCCGAGAATCATGTGCCCTGAGCAAGCGCAGTGNATTACTAACGATACGAAGTTTTCGAAAATATCTTCAGATGAAGAAGTCCAAGAATATATGTCCTTCATGGACGTGAACCTGTGCAAAGGTAAAATGATTGCTGATGCAGTATGGCACCCAATGTGGACAGGAATCATCGCAATAGCCTACGCCAATGCTGCTCCAAATGTTTATCAATCTGGACCAAAAATGGAGGATAATGTAAGATATTTTCAATTTTATCAATTCATTTCAAACATCCTATTTGGTACTAACCTAAATGCAATTTCAAGTCATCGACATTTTTTTTCAAAAAGGTTCTGAAAGCAGTTCATGGACTGAACTCGGTTCTTATCTGGAGCTGTTTGGATGGACTGCGGCCTAAATTGATTCTAGAAACTCCAAGAGAGGTTCACAAACTATCTTTTTGTAAATTTGACGAAAATATCCTCATTGGCGGTTGCAGTAATGGACAAATCGTAAGTTTATAGTGTTTTGTTGAACTCTAGTGTACTGATTGGCTACGAGATATTTCGGGATTAGAGAACAAAAACAAATATTAATCCCCAAAAATCACTTTATTGTTTTTCAAAATATGCCCCATGAAGATCTATACACTTTTGCATGCGTTTGAACCAATTGTCGAAGCACTTTTGCCACTCTGATTGAGGTATCTCCAAAACATGCATTCTGTCTAGGAGTGAACTACGACCACGATTGAATTCACCATTCCATCGATAAACCCTGGTCCTTGATGGAGCTTCATCGCCAAAAATTGAATTAAGTTCATCCATGCACTGTTGCTGAGTTAATCCACGTCGAGAGTTGTAAAAAATAATCGCACGAAAATGTTTACGATTGGGCGAGTTTTGGGCCAAAATGAATATTTTAAGTTATTGTAAACAACACAAATAGCGCGCGCGTATGTCAAAACGTTCTGAGTACGTATAAGCTCAAAAATGTCCAACTTTACGATAGAGCTGCCAGATTGCAACAGTGAAGTCTATCCAAATCCAAGATAGAGTAAAACAAAACAAAACCGAAGCGTGATGTTCACGTGATCGCCCAGTGTCAGATGGAAAGGGCAGCGTT